GAAACACACACACACACACACACACACACACACATACACACACACACACACACACACACACACACACACACACACACCCTAGATTCATTCAAAATAAGATTCATTATTTTTATAAGTCATAACATTTTTTGAACTGTAAATGACAGTAAAGAGTTATCCTTTCTAAGAAAGTAATTGATGGATTTCTAACTATAATATTTTTTTATGTATTTCTCTCCATCTTTTTGAACTTAAAAATGTAAAATGTTTAATTGACTATTTAAAAAAAATGTATTTAAAGTCTTTAATTTAATTTAAAGACTTTTATTTAAAGACAAAATTTTACTTTCACATTCTTTTCTTGTTAATCCCATACTGTACAACTAGTCTGTCAAATGGAATAAAGTCTGTTCATTCTAATATATGTTGTAAGTATTTCATTCCTTGACAACTCCAGTCTGGGAAGTTAATCATATTAATGTTCTGTATTATGTCACAGTTGTTCCAGATTAGTGTATGTTTGCATGAGATTAATGAAGTCATTTTTAGAAACTTCCACCATGCTTTCAGAGAACTTTTGCTTTCACATTTAAACTCCAAACAGAGGGAGACTTTAACCTTTTGTTTCAATCATAAAACTGCCGACAGGTTGGGTGAGCAGTTTTATGATGTTTTATAATAATAATAAACTTTATTTATAAAGCACACTTAAAACCAAGGGTATACCAAGGTGCTTAATAAGTAACATAGAGAATAAAAGGAAGATAATAGAAATAGGACCAAAGCAGGTATGCAAGCAGATAACTGTCACTGATACATGGGAGAAGCAGCAGATACAGAACAAACAAGGAATTAAATTAGCATAAAAGTGCATAATGTAAAATCATAAGTGAAATGTTAACTAGAAGGAATGAACATATATATCTTAGGGGTGCTACAATGTATCTGTATTGAATGGTTCAATACAGTGCTTTTGGTTCGGCACGCATATGTATTGAGCAATGCTGAATTTTTAATTTATTTTATCAACTTTTCCTCTGACGATGCTGTCTGTGTTGAGAGCTCAGTGGATCTGTGTTCGACTACTCTGCCTAGGCTGCACTGTCGAGCTCAGATCCACTGAGTACCCATACGCATTCACTCATGCTAGCGAGACAGAAGTTAAGCTCGTTGCAACATGGCAACTGCCTCAACGCTACCCGAAATTGAACCTCCTCTACCATCATTGAGATCTGGCGTTTGGAACTATTTTGGTTTTCATGTGAAGCATGACCCTGATGGTAAGCGTGGACAAAAGTACAACAGTAAGTCGGACGTGCCAGGCAATGCTCAATTACATCGGTGGAAACAGACAAGCACGCATGCTACAAACTTTACCCGAGACAGCCGTTAGCACATGATTCTTAGAGGGCAAAAGAAACAGGGCAATGGCTATTTTTATAGCTGTCGACATGCGACCATTTTCTGTTGTAGAAAACAACGGGTTTCAGGAAAGGCTGAGAGTACTTGAGCCCCGTTACAACTAAGTGCTAGGACTCCAGAAGATGAGTGTGAGGGGAGGTTCTTCAGAGAGTAGTTCCTTTTAAGGGGGCCTGATATGTTTAATATGCTGCTGAGAATATACCCCAGAAGAAGGGTACAGTATAGCTTTTCCACATATGAGTGATTTCTCGAGTTAAAAGAAATATGTATAATTTTAATCAATTACAAATTAAAAAAGGCATGAACATTTTTTTGTATCGAAAAAATATCGAACCATGACACGAAAGTATTGAACTGAACCGAATACCATTTGCTAAAATGAGATTTACATGTATTAATACTGACTGCTAGCCTTTTAGACAAGGACAAGGACATTCTTTGTCGGCCTACTGTCAACCTCATGTTTACAGTACAGTATTTACTTTTAGAAATCTCTTATGTCTTAAATTACACACCAGGGTGTGTATGAAATTGTTGGTGTAGTGCATTTCAAGAGTCACAGAATCACAGAACGCTAATTCAGTGCTATTTCATAACAGCTAAAACACCGTCACTCTCCGCTAACACCTGAACCGGAA